AAGAGTTAAACCTTCGACTCCTTCTCTGCCAACAGATATCTAAAGACATGGAAAAATACAAATATAAGGACTCCTGTTGCTTTCCTGTCATTTTGCTTCCCACATTTACTAGAAAACAAGAGATGGTTTTTAAAGTTTTGTTAATGAAATACATAGTAACCTGTTCTGGTCTTGACCCACAACTGAGTCAACAATGAAAATACTAGAATAGCAAAACAACTGTTGTATTCACTTTTCCTTGTGCTCTCCCTTGGGAATAGGCATCAGGCAGATTTCCAATGATAAATATAATAGGATCTGAACTCATACATGTTCAAGGGTAAGTTGCAGCTAATGAGGAAATTTTAAAAGTCCTGATGGAACCCATGGTAAAAGGTTTTACAGATGTAACAAACACAGGGGAAAGCCCTTCCTGACCCTTTCCCTCCTCAGTCAGTGATCCCAAATGTAACGATGTCCACAAAATGCTGAGCGCCACCCCCCCAGGCCTGGCAAACAGACACAGTATCACTTTCCCCCTCTTCTTCTTTCTTAGACTGACAAACATTTTTCAGCTATGCAGTTTGGGATTCTGCTACAGATAAGCTCATGGTATAGTTCAGAGGATCCCTCGGACATTTTTCTGAACGTGGAATTGGACCTCGTTGATGGAAAGAACGTTTAGAAAAGAGCCATCAGCAGCAGCAGAATCGTATTTAAATTCCCAAATGATAATATTGCTTTAGGGCAAGAAATAAAGGCTTTACTTGGAGTCATGATTTTTTTAAAGCTACTTCTCAAAAAACAGTTCAGGTTTAACATCCTTTGTTGGTGGTCTCCTCCAAAAACTAGCACAAAACTTCTTTTTGTAAGTGGAATCACCACGCAGCTCTATAGGACAGGCCATTTTCTTTTCTGCATATGTATGAGGCCTATATAACACATACACACACATCACCCCCGCTGACTTCAGAGGCCCAGGAGGAAATGACTAGGTAGAATTTTAAGTCAGAAATCTAACGCTTAGGTTAGTAGTGTCAGGTTAAAGGCTCGCCCATCCCCAAAGCTAATTCGATTCTGCACAGTCCCATGGGTGTCTCGTGGAACAGAAGGAGCTAGGAAACCTTAGCAGGCTGAAGCCCAGCCTGGGGAATTGCTGGAACTCCGTGCCAGGGGCTGAGGCGCACCCCAGACTCAGTATCAGATAATACCAAGTGCTCGTCTGGATTTCCAGGACTAATCTACTCGAGGGTGGAACTTCCAGGTTCCCTGGTGCCTGTGCTGCCAAGTGAGAGGACTTTGTCCATCCACACTGTGCCTGGCTAGTATTATATTTTATAACAGAAAAATTAGGTTCCACACACAGAGTCTATTAGTAGCCATGGTCCATGGGAGGGAGACAGAGGCGGGGGCGGGGGGTGCTATGGGAAAGTAGAAAGCACTCTGAAGTTTCAATAGGTTCAGTTTCACAACTTTCTTTTTTGTAATCTAATTTGTATTCTACTTCTAATTTTAAATGTGTTTACAGTTTCTCTAAATTCTCAAAGCTCTATCAATAGTGGCTATTAGCCACTTTTGTGTTTACTCAGAAGGGTTCTTTGGTTCCAAAAGCTAGTTTCCCCATCTCATTCCCCCTCCAACCTCTTCCTCTCCTCCCCACCTCCAAAATTACACACCTCTCTCCTTTCTTTTATTAGGGTCAAGTTTAAAATCTAATGTTGTATAACTTCTTAAAACCCTGAGATGACCTATCAGGGCAACAGTAATCCCCAGCGTTACTTTATTTTAACTTTATACAGAAAGGTTCTCCAGGTTAAGGGAAAAAACCCTCCCCCACATATAAGTAAACAAATAAAGAATTTAGCATTGAAACTGGGATTTAAGACTACAGGGATATTCTGCATTAAATACTGATTTACACTAATTTTTACCAAAGTCAGTATTTATTACCTCTCCCCACCATTGCAAGTTTAAGACTCACTCAGCACTTAGGAAGCTTTGGGTTACTGTGTCTGAATTGCAAAACACACCATTTGCCCAGAAATTGCTCTTAGTCCAAATGCAAATTGCTTATAAAACATGTGTAAACCATGCTTCGAACAGGCAGCACACATCCACAAAAATCCATTCAATGCAAAGGTAAGTGGAAAAGCTTTGCAAATTAAGCTTCCCTTTAAAAACTGGAGGGACATTTATGGTTTCCAAAAGGTAATTGCTTCTTACTTCAGTAAAAGTGGCTTTATGCGACTGGAAGGAGTTTATTTATTTATTATTTTTAAGTGAGTGGATAACAGTATTCAATTAGAGAACGGGGTGGGAGAGCCCACTCTTGAAATATAACTTAATCGCCAGGCACCAGCAAGCAGGAGAGGCCCACCGAGCATACGAGCTAAAATGGAGCCTGAATTTCCTCTCAGACTAAGAGGGTAGTCGCACGAGGTCAGGGTCAAGGTCACCAGCAGGGCAGCCTGCAGCTGCCCGAATGCGCTACACACAACGGGAGGGAAGGCGTTCCATCTCCGTCAGAGCCGAAAACAGATAAATCCCTTCTCCTCTCCTACCCTCCCTCTAACCCCGCCAACATTTTTTTTTAAGCAGGGGGGAGAAGAGAAGAAAGGAAAATGACCAAATAACCTCACCGCCCTGGTTTTCGCACACAAGCTCATCAGCTCCCAAAGTTGCCATCTAAGGGCAAGTTCGCAGAGAACACTGAAGCCCATTTTGTCCGAGCAGGGCAAGCCTCCCCCGACCCCCCCCCCAGGATTCCTGCCTCCTCTCCCTCCCCCGCCACACGCCCCCGAAAAGAGCTGGGAACTGGCCGGCCGGCCATGTGCACGCACACACTTCTTCCACCAACTGCTGCGAGTTTTCTGTGAATCGCAGCGCGGAGCCTCCCAACTCACCCTCCCCGACTCCACCGCCTTCTCTTTCCTCGCACAAAATTTCCCTACACACGCAGCCGCCTGCGAGTGATTTTATGTGCATATATATTACATATGTGATATTATCCTCAGAACCTCTAGCGGGCAGGCGAAGAAAGGACTGCACAGGGGCATTTTTTTTTTTTTTTTTTTTTTTTAAAGGAAGGGGAAAAAAAGCACAACCCAAGCCCTGTGCGTCGACTCCTGCGTACCGGGAAGGGAAAAGAAAGAGGAATGTTTGCGGAGCGGGCTGCCTGCAAGTGCCCTTGCTCACCACTTCGGCCGCGGCCCGGGTGACACAGAGCCGCGGGGGCGCTTGGCCCGAGCCACCCGCGCCCCTTGCCAGTCCCCCGGGCAGGCACCGCCGCGGATATTTCGCGAGGGGGAGAGCGATCGCGCTGCCTGTCTGCAGCGGAAACGCACAGGCTCACACACAACCCGAGCCCGAGACACCATAACCTTAACCCTTCCCCCACCCTCCGTGAACTTCAGGTGACCGACCACGTCGGCCTGACACCCAGGCGGGTAGGCGCTCCGGCTCCACTCCCGCCCCCAGCCCGGGTTTTGCAGGATCGGGCTCCAAGCAGAGGCAGACAGCCGAGAGCGGGGAGCAGTGCGGGGGGAGAGAGGAGAAATTGACCCTCGGTCTCCCCCGACCCCTCCCTCCGGCGCCTCCGGCGTCCCCTCCTCCCCGTCACCCCGCCCCACGCCTTTTCCCCTGCCCCCTCCTCCGTGCATTCAAGGAGCCGGGCGGCCCCGGGGGATATTTTTAGTTGCTTCTTTCTCCTTCACTTTTAGCTTTAGCAGCATCTCGGAACACTCAAAGCGGAGAAAGATTGGGGGGGGGGGAGCTGGAGAGGGAGTGGGGGAAAAGTTAAGAGTCTAGCAAAGAAAAGCCGGAGGGAGGGCGGAGAGGGACCGGGGGCGCGGGTGGAGGAGGGGAAGGGGACCGGGCCGTGCCGGCGGGTGTGTGTCTCCAGTTGGTGTGTGTGGCTGCAAGCCGGGGAGGGTTGTGATGCACTTTAGTCCTGGACTCTGCTCAGGCTCGCCGGGGAGGGGGGTCTGAGAGCCCGAGTCTCGCCGGCTCCGTCTGCTCCGACTGACCCCGCATTTTATTGCGGCCAGGAGCCCTGCTCCTCCCTCCCCTCGGCTCTGCAGGGACCTCGCGCGCCGCGAGCCGCCCTGCCTCCTGCCTCCGCCTCGGCGCAGCTCCCGCACCCCACATCCGCCCGCCGCTGCCCGGCCTCACCCCCCACCCGGCCGCCCCGCGCCCCCGGCGCCCCGGCGCGCCCCCTCGCCCAGGCGCCGCGGGAGCAGCCGCCCGGCGGCGCGTGTGTACCGGTGTGTTTGTGTGCGGTGCCCCCACACCCTCCCCAGCCGCTCCCGCCTCGCCCGCCCCCGACTCCCCTCCTCCGCCGCCGCCTCCTCCACCTCCGCCTCCTCCTGCTCCTGCCGCCGCCGCCGCCGCCGCTGCCGCTGCCGCCGGCGGCTCCGGGGCCGACCAACCCCGGCGCAACCTTTAGCCGGAGACGGACCTCTCCCTGGATCCCGTACCCGGCGGGTGGCCGCGCGCCCTCGCCCCGACACCCCCAAACGCCATGTCACGGCCCCCAGCCCTCCGCACGCCCCGACCCCCGCACCCTCAGGCACCGGGATCCACAAGGAATTTTTTTTTTAAAGATTCCAACCTCTCCCACCTCCCCCCCTCCGACTCCCCGATTAAAAAAAAAAAAAAAAAAAGAACCGGCATCCACACTACTCCCCTTCTAGCGTCTCTTGCCCCCTCCCCCCAGCAACCCGGAGTGAGGAGGGGGAGGGGGAGGGAAAAGGGAAAAAAGCCCGATCTCAAGGAAAAAAAGAGGGAGGGTGAGAGAAAGAAAGAAAAAGAGAGAGAGAATAGAAAGGGCACGGGGCTGATCATCACCAACATGGCTGCCTCAGCATAGACCTAAACGAGGAGTAACCCGGGCTGTGTCTTTGTCAGTTTCACCTCTGTAACCCTAAACTAATGCAGAAAACAACGGAGGAGGCTGCGGAGGGGAAAGAGGAGAGGGAGGGCGAGAAAATGGCACGAGAGGAGGTGGAGAAGGGATGACTTACGTGAGGGAAGGCGCTTGGGCTGCTCCTGCTTCCTCCTGGGCATTTTCCCCCTTTTCTCACATTCTCCTCCTTGGTTAATGTGAGATCAAATAAACCCCCGTGGGGGCAGAGAGGCAGACACTGGCAGGAGCGGGGAGGTAGTTGGGGGGCGGGCGGGCGAGCAGGGGGAAACCCCTTCTCTCCGGTGTGTGCAATGGGTTGAAGCTTGTTTCCTGGAGCCAGATGAGGGGTTCTCTTCTTTTCTTTCCTTTCTTTTTTTCCTTTTTTTTTTTTTTTAAATTTTTGGTCGTGCACCTGGCTTGTCCCCGAGCGTAATATTCTTCAATGGAAACGGATCTAATAGGTGTGAGTGTGTGTGTGTCCTATGCTCGCGTGTGTGATGGGAGGTATAAATAAATGAGTGCCGGTGCGGCGGTGTCTATGGCCGCGCTCTGTGTCTCCGAGCCCCTAACACTAATGTCGGGATCAAAGGGCAGCGGCGGCGGCGGCACAGCTCACAGCTCGCTCTCTCGCTCTCTCTCTTTCTCGCTCTCTCTCTCCTCTCGCGCTCTCTCTCTCTCTCTCTCTCTGTCACACACACACACTCACACATACACAGAGGCACAGACTGAGGGAAAGAGCGAGAGCTAGACACACACACACACACACACACACACACACACACGCACGCACGCAGAGCAAAGAGGAAGGTGCCCTAAGGCTCCCAGGGCGGACTCAGGCTGGGATTTGCAACCGCTCGGTCTGGAAAGAATGGGGGGCGCGCATGCGGGGGGTGGGATGGAGTTCTTCGAATTTATCCCGCTATTCGCCAAATCTAGGGGGAAAAAAGTTTTCCCCACTCTCGGAACAGCGATTAGTTCATTACTCTTGCTGGTTTTTTTTTTTTTTTTTTAAGAAAATAGATTTTTCTCTTAACTTTCTTTTGTTTATTAAACTACATTTTGTTCTGCATAAAATTCTTCAGGCTTTTTCACTGCAAAAATTACTCTCTCACCCCATCACCTTAAGTTTGTGGAGGTTACGGTTTTCCAAACACTCTTCCAAAAACATTCCAATAAAAATAATTTTTTAAAAAAATTAAAAGATAGCAGCATATGGCGAAATCGATAACGAGGTTGATGGAGTATGTGCCCAGTTTTGGAGTGTTCATTGGAGTTAAAACTGAAACATGCTGCCGAAATGAAAATTACATCCCCTTGAGGAAGGGGGGGGGCGGGGAATAAGATTTGGTCACCCCCATGGTTGATTTCATTGCTACGTGATACTCCTACAGTGCACAGAGAGATCTGGACTTCTGAAATTTACTTTTTTTTTGCTGCAGTAGTGCAGGTATGTGAAACTTACCCTGAAGCAATTCTAGTTTGCATTATGAACCCAAATATAGCAGTTTTCATCAACTGATACATACTTTCATTACTTTACAAATCACACATCTTTCTTCAAAGAGAGACATAAAGGGGAAAAATAGAAAAGGATGGGTCTCACTCTAGCACAAAAGGTACTTGGTGAAAGAGGACTGTTCCCTTTGTGACTTGCAGTCATTTGGATAAAAGTTCACTCAGAGGTTGTTAATGATTTAAACTCCAAAACCTGCTACTATAATTGAAGTAAAAATGGTCTGAAGAAGAGTTGTTTCATAAAACTCTCTTTGTAAGAGGAAACTTTGAACTTAGCAGAATACATTATATGTCATGAGTCAGATGTAGCTAAAAAATAAAAAGGTGAATTATTTAACTACATCTTCCCTTTTTAGCTTTTTAAAAACTCTGACTCATCATCTTATTATGTTAAATATTTTCTTACCATTTTAAAAATAGACTTTTTCATCAAAGAAGGTGGAGGCATGGTGGAGATACAGAACGTTAAAATGACACTCTGTAAGCTTACACAGATAGCTAATGCCTCTTGGAGGTTCTAGCCTGATTCTCACAACTTGAGTGGTGTTAACAACAGCCATGGTGGATAAATCCCTACAACCCTCTTAAAAATAACAATAAGACCGTATATTGTGTCCTTTTATTAGAGACGCTTAAAGAGTGTTGGATCTCCCATAAGATGTTTCTCATTGATAATGAAATATCAGGATGAAACCCTCCCTGCCAACTCCTGGAAAGATTCAGCTTCCCCGTGTAACAAGTAATGCTATCAGAAGCAGGTTTTGAAACACCTGCTTGAATTCAATCTAAAACCAAAACCAGGAGCAGTCAAGTTTAAAATGGAGCATCATTCTTAAACCAATTCTTCCCTGAGTGTTGGCTTAAGAAAACCGGTCATCTGAGTTTCCCTGAGTTATAATTTGAGATGGAACCATTGTCCAACTCAGATCAAACTCAACTTACCATGACTTTGACTATTGTCAGTAGCATTGGACTTGAAATTAATATACGAATGGTAAGTCAGAGCCCATGCATTCCAAGTAGACTCATGCCCTGAGTATGCGGGATCTTCAAACCTAACACAGGGTAAACAGAACGGTCACAACACTCTACCACTGCATGCTCCAAACCTTTAGCTAGGATTTAAAGAACCATTACTTTGCATAGACTCACCAGCTCTGTCTTCCTGAATTGCTATGACTCTTTACAATGCTTAGTACACTATAATCAAAAACATACTTCAGGCCTTTTCTCAAAGTAGAGTACATTTCCTGTGACTTTTTTTTTTTTTAAAGATTTTATTTATTTATTTGACAGAGAGAGAGATCACAAGTAGACGGAGAGGCAGGCAGAGAGAGAGAGAGAGAGAGAGGGAAGCAGGCTCCCTGCTGAGCAGAGAGCCCGATGCGGGACTCGATCCCAGGACCCTGAGATCATGACCTGAGCCGAAGGCAGCGGCTTAACCCACTGAGCCACCCAGGCGCCCCTTCCTGTGACTTTTTAAAGGCATGCGGGCAAATGCTGTCAACTTTTAATTATACAGGTATTCAATCAACAGCCAAAAGCATTTTTAATTGAATTTATTCATACCTCTACCACTTTCCAAAAATTATCTGAAGTAGTGCACAGCAACAGAAAATGGAAATAAGGACAGGACAGTTTCGTTTAACTCTCAGCTTGGTATCTGTCTGCTACAAAGCACTCTTCAAGGGCACTGGCATTTCCCCCTCAATGGTTATATGTTCAGAGAAAACAAACTAATTTTAATGTTCGACCAATCTACAATATTAGGGAGATAGATAGCTAGAAGTTGCTATGCTAGATTTCCAAATCAAATGAATAAATGATTTGGGGAATGTGTGCCTTTTGGATGCACATAGTCATGAACCTTTAACTCGGATTATTCTTGTCCATAGTCATTACCTTGGGATATTCCATTTGTTTCAGCCCACAGTCCAAGCTTTTGAAAGAATATTTCATTGGGGTGCCTGGGTGAATCCGTCGGTTAAGTGTCTGCCTTCGGCTCAAGTTATGATCCCAGGGTTCTGGGATAGAGCCCCACATCGGGCTTTCTGCTCCGCAGGGAGCCTGCTTCTCCATCTCCCTCTGCTCCTCCTCCCTGCTCATGCTCTCTCTCTCTCTCTCTCTCTCTCTGTCAAATAAATAGATAATTCTTTAAAAAAAAGAATATTTTATCTTAATAATTATAGTACTCTCTCCACCCCCATCTACATCATCTCTCAGATGTGATTAGAATAGATTTTCTCAGAATTGGGCATTTTAAGAAGATGTTTTATAAATGCTCTCTCTCACAGGAGTGCATTCTGTCCTAGCCCAAGTATTGCTAGAGAAGGAGACAGAGGGAGCACTTCCCCTAGAAAGGTATGTGGTCTCTCGAGGGGTCCTTGAGTATTTTTGTAATAATACTAAGATGTTATTTGCCCTTTTATCTGTGTTCATATTTCTACTGATGATGCAAAAGCAATGGGAATAAAATGCTGGTACTTTAGCAGCTTGAATCAAGGCAATGGCTCCAAAATGTATTAGTAGTCATCGTCCACCACCATGCACTTAGAGGGGAAAAAAAAGGAAGATTCATTTTAAAGTCTCCTTGATGAAGCAATAAAATTTACTAATTTTATCAAAGTTCAACCCTTGAGTATGAGACTTTTAAATATTCTTTGTGACAAAATGGTTGGCACATAGAAAGTACTCCTGGTGCATATAGACATACAGCAGTTGTCGCAAGGAAAATCGATTGTGAGATTGTTTGATATGGCTGTGTTTTTCATGGAATATTATTTTTACTTGAAAGAATAACTGATAGACAAACTGCAGATGTTGGATATGTCTCCAAAAAATGAATAAAGTAATCCTGTAACTTCAAGGAAAACAATGCTCGGTATTTTTTGGCAATGATAGTATTTGTACTTAGAAGTGAAAATTAGAATTTTAGATAACTTGTATCCATCACTGCGAGCTTAACAGCTTCCTAATACAGGCTTCTCTGACGAGATCCATGGTGATGTTAATGAATATGACTTTTATACATTGTGTCAACATTTTGGAGGAATAGCATAACTCAGTGAACCAATATTTTCCAAATGACCAATGCGTGATGTTACAAATTCATGGTGAAGGATCCGTTCAATGTACAAGGTAGGCCAATGGATTTTAGTCTAAGAGTATAAAAAGTTCATTGATACGGTTTCAGATTCGGCACCATAAGTGATTTTTTAAAAATTGCCACTCATCAAGTTTTGGTGTGGTGTCAAAGAAGAATATCCACAATGATCTGGAAAGGTTATTAAAATACTCCTCCCTTCCTCCTACTACATATCTGTATGAAGCTTGCTTTTCTTCACATGCATCTTTAACAAAAGCAACATATCACAACAATGTGAATGTGGAAGCAGGTGTAAGAGTCCAGCTCTCTTTTACTAAGCCAGACATAGTAGCGATTTCAGAAATATAAAACAAGGCTACTCTTCTCATCGAAATTTTGTTTTGAAAAATAGAGCTTTTTAATTTTAAGATTTTATTTATTTATGACAGAGAGGGATAGCGTGAGAGGGAACACAAGTCCAGGAGAGCTGGAGAGGGAAAAGCAGGCTCCAGCTGAGCAGGTAGCCGGATATGGGGCTATATCCCAGGACACCAGGATCATGACCTGAGCCAAAGGCAGATGCTTAGTGACTGAGCCACCCAGGTGCCCT